TCCAACCTAGGGGCTCATCTTGCAGAACTATACTGGACAATAGTCTATTGTAGTGGATCTCATATGCTTTCCATTGGCTAATTTTCAGAACCAAATCATCTGATTTTTCTTCCTAGTCCATCTAAATCTGGCAGTTGGTACCAATAGGTATATTGAGCTATTAGTGTCTTCCAAAGCTCTTTGGCACCAAAATGCAAGCTCAGTCATAGGTATATAATGAGTTGATGTTTAGGAGGGATTTGTGTTTGTTTGTTTTTTTTCATTAAAAAAAAACAAAAACAAAAACAACAAACCCTAGCTTGCTTCTTCCCTTCTCATATTTCCAGTGCCACAGTCTTGTTACCTGGACAAGCCAGGATGAAAAATGCTGGGAGAAGGAAGGGGGTGCTTTGGACCAATTTGTTTCCATTTCAACACTTTTGGGATGATCATTGGTGAAACATCTTGATTGGCGTCCCCACTAAAACATCCTTCTGCCACCACCACTCACTATCTAGCGAGGAGGCTACATCTTGACTCAGAACAAGCCCTTAAGACCTCTGCTTCCTCTGGCCTTATTACTTTGGCATGGGGTCTTCAGCTCTCATTTTTCTATATTCTTTTTCTTTAATTAATTTTAATGAAAGTTTACAGAGACTTAGGGTTTCCAGTCATTCATTATTACACTATTGTCCCTGCTCCCCCCGCCCCTCCAATTCACTCTTCTCCTTGAAAAGTGAAACTCTTTCATTGTTATATAATCCCTCCCCCCAAGTCCACTGCACTGTGCAGCCTTCATTCTGGACTCCTGTCATGGCGATAATACCCAATCATATATCCCTTTTCAACAGTTCTCCCCCTCATCTGTTTCAATGCAGTATACATCATTCCTCCCCTCCTTCTCTGTCTTCCCTCAACTCTGATGTCAGTCCCATTTTACAACAGTGGCACTATGCAGTATTTGTCCTTTTGTGACTGAGATATTTCACTCAGCATAAGGTCCTTCAGGGTTATCCATTTTGCATAATATTACATGAGTTTCTTGCTTTTCAATGCTGTATAGCATTCCATTGTGTGAATAAACCAGAACTTCTCTATCCATTTGTTTGTCGATGAGCACCTGGGTTGTTTCCAGCTCTTGGCTATTGTGAACAAAGCAGCCATAAACATGGGTGTGCATATATCTGCTTGAGTGGCGGTTATGGTTTCTTTAGGGTAAATTCCCAGTAGTGGAATTGCTGGGTCAAATCATATTTCTATTTGCAACTTTTTGAGAAAGCACCATACAACCTTCAGTAGTGTTTGCACCATTTTACACTCCCACCAATAGTGAATAAGGGTTCCAGTTTCTCCTCAAGCTCGCCAGTATTTGTTGCTTGCTGTTCTGTTAAATTTTGCTATTCTGACTGGGGTGAGATGATATAGTTGTTTTGTCATTTTTCTATATTCTTAATAGGGAGACATTTGCATGATTTTCTGCAGCCAATAATCCAGAGAGCTCACAGGGGTGACCGTAACATTCTGGTTCTTGCTAGTTGTAAGCAGGTCTGCTCCACCTTGTGACAACCTTAAGTATGACAGAAAGAACCAAAGTCCAGGCCTGTGTTACAATCATGATCTTCAAACTCCTGGAATTCATTATTGTATCTAATGTGTCAGCCATCTTGTAGAAGGTTTTCCTCTTACAGAGAGGCCATCGCAGGAGAGAGAGACCCACAACACAATGACCGCAAGTCGCCACGTGGTGAAGACCAGGAGAGCAGGATAGGACAGGATTTCGTTTGCTTTGAGTCATAGTCAACTTGATGGCACCTCAAAACAGCTGACTTTACCAGACATGATGCCCATTTCTAGCAGGTCTGTCCTTGATGATGTGTTTAAAGTGTAATCAGGAACTAATTACTCATCTCTTTGGTTTCTTTCCAGTGTCTTTTCAATCTGCACAGGAAAAAAAAAATACACACACACACACACACACACACACACACATATTGCTCTCAGCTCAGTTATTAAACTCAGTGAATTCTCTTAATTCTCCACTTTTTACCACCTTATCTCAGCTTGAAGTTGGGAGTCAAAAGTCAAGACACTAGCACAAGAAAACACAATAAAGTATTTCTCTACATACTGAAGAGATCTAATGAATAAGAAACGACCTTCCAAGAAGTGTTGCAGAGGACAGGAAGTTGCTGGTCTGCTGTGCAGGGTGTCAGGAGGACTCCTGACCTGTTGACTTTGCCCGCGTGAGGGGCTGAGCCTGACAGTGAAGGAACCAGCTGGTATGAAACACAGGAGGATGTGTGCGGGACCCAGAGTTTGCACCAGGGTCCACTGGCTAGGGCTGAGCTGACCAGAACCTAATCGACTGAAGAGCGAGTATAGATTGCTGCAATTTGATGGCTTCTTTTGGAATGGACTTTGTTCATAGATGCAGATTCTCAAAGTTCCCATTGGAAAAGAAGACTCATCTGAGAAAGGGCCTGCTTATCTCCTCAGAATAGTACCTTGGAAGGGTTAAGCAAATTAGAAGTTGTCTCTCTAAAATAAGAGCTAGGGGATGCAGGCATGAAGTAGCTGGTTTTATATGCTTTCATGAGTGTACTTGCTAGTAAAATGATTTTAAGGGGAAAGTCAGACCTACAAGTATAAAGGCCAATGGCTTGAAGAGCCACAGAGTGACCTGTGCTATAAGGGGCTAGTCAGTGTGACTTTTCTAGCCATCGCCTTTGATTTTCAGCCACCAGTGGGACTGGATAGCTTGCTAATAATGTAAATAAAATAAATAGCATCTTTGGGCGGGGACATGCATGTAAGGTGTATAGACTACTGAGAGGATTGGTCGGTTTTGCTTTCCTTAAATTGAGATTGTTCAGTCTTAATATTTTAAAGTGTCAAATCTCAGAGAGTCTCAAACTCATTGTTGTCAAGTTGAAACTGACTCATAGCTGCCTTTCCGGTGGGTTTTGGAGGCTATAGACTGCACTGGAGGAGATTGCCCATCTTTCTGCCATGAACCCAGTGGTGGATTTGAACCACCAGATAGACTAGTAGCACCACTTAGTTAGAAGAACAACTCCATACAGACTACACTACCAGAGCTGCTGCTGCTGCTGCTGCTGCTGCTGTTGTTGAGTACCTTGGAGTTAGAACCAACCCGTAACTGAGCCTCTGGTGGGGTTTTCCGAGTGCAGCTTCTTACCATTAGGCCACCAGAGCTGTAGTCAAACAATATTTGCCCAGTAAGGAGTTGCACTGCTAACCCAAAGGCAGACAGTTCAAATCCACCAACCACTCTGAGGGAGAGAGATGGGCAATCTTCTCCCATGCAATTTACAGTCTCTGAAAATCCACTGGAGGGTCAGCTATGAGTCCATTCTGACTTGACTGCAATGAGAATTTTGTCACTTTGTTCAAAACAATGTTTTCAAGGCTCAGCTGAAGTTCAGTTCTATTTATACCTTAAAAAATAGTCTGCTATAAAAAGGACAAATACTGCATAGTGCCACTGTTATAAAACGGGAATGATCTAGGGGTTGGGGGAGAGAATGAGAAAGATGGGATAAATGATGTATAGTGCATTGAAACAGATGAGGGAGAGAACTGTTTAAAAGAGATATGTGCGGGGTGGGGGGTGGGGGGAAGGGACGTGGGAATTGTATACTAATGAAG